TCATCATATGGAAACAGAAAAATATTCCACTGTAGTGAAAACAATTCTGAATAATTGAAAGAAAGGCTTGAGATATCAACATGCCTGCTCTGAAATTGCAGTATAGAGCAATAGTAATAAAAAACTAAAGCAACATGGGTTTAGCATAAAAACAGATCAATGGAATCTGACAACCCAGATGTGAGTTCATACACCTATAGATACCTGATGCTTGTTAAATAAGCCAGAAATGCATACTGGGTCAATACAGCATATTTAAGAAATGACACTGGCCAAACTGGATGGCTTCATATAGAAGAGTGGTAATAGATTTATACTTACCACCCTACTCAACTCTAAAGAGATCAACATGAGGGTAAATACACTGACTCTGATAGAAGAAAGTAGAGAATAGTTTTGGACTCATTGTCACAAGAAAGGTCTTTCTGAATAGAATACAGAGAAAACAGCCACTAAAAAATTAATAAATTGTACCTCATTTCTGTAAGGCATAACAAAGCAGAAAGTTACATAATGGGCTTTACCAACTACACATCCAATGGAGGGTTAAGACCCAAAGTATATACAGAAATAAAAAAAAATTGACATCAAGAAAATAAATAACTCAATTAAAAATACAGACCTAAATGGAGAGTTTTCAAAAGATGAAAAACAAATGGTTGAGAAACACTTAAAGAAATCTTCTACATCCTTAACCATTGAGGAAATGCAAATTACAACTACTTTGAGATTCTGTTTTATACCTGTCATTATGGCCAAGAGCAATAAAACAAATGACAACTCCATGCAGAGGATGTGGATTAAGGGGAACACTCATCTATTGTTGGAGGGAGTGTAAAGTTGTGCAGCCACTATGGATATCAGTGTAGTGGTTCCTTTGAAGCTAGGACTAGCTCTGTCACAAGATCCAGCTATATCAGTCTTGAGCATGTACCCAAAGGACTCTACCTCCTACTACACCTACATATGTTCCTTTTAAGGCTGCTTTTAAACCCTGCTTTCACTGTGTCCTACAAGCTTTGATAAATTGTGTTTCATTTCATTCATCTCTATGATTTCTTCTTTACTCTACTCGTTGTTTGTGTATATTGCTTCTTTTCTACAGATTTGTGAACATTTCATTGTTGTTTCCTGTACTGGATTTAAAATTCATTCCGTTATGGAAAAAGAAGGCTCTCTTTTTCTCTAATATCCATCTTTTAAAATCTACTGAAACCTAATTTGTGAGCTAACATGTGTCTGTCATGAAAAATGTCCCACATGCACTCGAGAACAAGTTTTTGCTCTTGGATAGAGTGTTTTGTGTATGCCTGTCAGATCTAGTTGTCTTATTGTTGCAGTATGTCAGGTTTCCTTCTCTTTCTTCTTCCCAGTGTTCTTCTCCAATGTTACCAGCTTTACTTGATGTATTTTGTAGTAAGTTATTAGATACATGGTTTTAAATTTACACTTTCTTTCTTTGCTGTATCCAAGCCTTTATATGATGAAAATTTATATTTTTATAATGAAACTTTGAACCTTTATATAATGTCATTTTTTTCAAAATATTTCCATTTTTATATAACCCTATTTTGCTTTGAAATATATTTCATCCATCCCATCTAGTGTTATCTACTTCTCTTCTCTTTCAGTTACTATTTGCATCTGTATCCTTTCTGATCCTTTTATTATTGAAATATTTGTGTCTTTGATCTAAAGGAGTGTCTTGCAGCCAGTACATGTGTAAAACTCTTTTCTGCAAAACTGTATTTTTCCTAGTAATACTGACCCATTTGTAGTTAAAAAAAAATAGTGATTAGCAAACATCTGCTTTTTCTACATAATTCTTCGTCTTACATACACTGCATTTTCTGGGTCCCTCGTTTCCCACATGATTTTCTCCACTAGTGTTTCAATAACTTTTATTTGGTGGTGAAGTGTTTCAAACTCCCTTTGCATTTCCTCCATTATATAGCTACCTTTTTATGGTTTCCATATGAACATGCTCAAGTTGTATGGCTAATCCTGGAAGTGCAATTGTGGATGACGTATTGGAGTGTTCTCTTTGTGTCATGGGATGAAGAGCTAGACTCTTCATGGGGCTCTAGACAGTGAGCAAGACAATATCCATGTAATGATCTATACGCTTTACACTGTGATCTCGGTTGAACCAGAAAGGGGAAATAGAGTATACAAGACTCCTCTAATAGGTCTGTTTATGGCCAAGTGTGCCAGCGGTGTGTGTTATTATTTTCACAAGAGTTATAGAAAATCCCTTACCAAATTTTAAGAAAATCTAAAAGAAATAGAGTTATGACAAAACATATAAACTGATTCATTATTTATATGTAATTATAAATATTCCTTTAGTATTATGTTTGTACACCAACTACGTACACCAAAAAATTAAAAATCACATTATTTGAACACGGTGGCATTGATCTATAATACAAGCTAGTAGGAGACTGAAGCAGGAGAATTGCTTAAGCCAGTTCAAGGTATATAGCTAGACCCTGTCTGATAAAATGGGTAATTTATTATAAAATTTTGTCTATATTTCAGTAGATATTCTTATTAGTATCTGAATAAAAAAGTTTTAGGTATTCTCTTTGTTGGCAGCTAAAGTCAGCCAGCCAATCAACCAGCCAGCCAGCCAGCCAGCCAGTCAACCAACCATTCAGCTAGCCAGCTAGCTAGCCAGCCAGTCAGTCAGCCAACCAACCAAGAAATCAACAAAACCCCAGTCAGACAGAACTGTTTGATTACATGTTTGAATTCTGTTTGATTAAATGTTCATAGGGCAGACAGTCTTTGAAATCTGATTAGCCATCTCAAAACTACATTTTATAAAATAGCAAGAGGATTTCTAAATCATTAAGGGTTCTCAGGTTTTCTAATATTCTATAATTGAATGTCTGTATTAATTCATTGTGAAAAATATGAAAATATGCACAAATTTTCAATTTATCAATTTCTAATAAAAATAAAAACACAATTGTTTTATTTTAATTGCCCTTTGAAAATAAAATGAAGGTTTTTGGAGACAGCACTGACTCTTAGCTTTGCAATACTCTACTTATTTCTAGGCTGGCCTGTATTTAGAACACACTTTAGTTTTACAACTGACACCCTGAAAATGTAATGCTACAGCCCCTAAATAGGAAAATTAATAAATCCTTTCCCCACTGAACACCACATAGCCGTACCCTTTGAAACATCTGTCTTCAGCACGAGGACACTGCTCAAAACGAAGGCTCACCTGAAGAAGCACTTTGCTTTGCTTTGGCAAATCTGAAGGCATTAAGACTGACAAGGCTAGGGCTGGGTGGCTAGCTACCAGTAGAGCACCTGCCTAGTATGAATGATGCTCCAGGTTCAGCCTTCAGCCTCATAAAAATGATTAAAACACCAACATCTCTATTTATTAAAATATGTCCTGGTGGCTAAATTTCAGTTGTTCATGAGACATCGTCATTAAAATTCAAGGTTTGAATCATCTCGGGATTTGATCATACTGAAATCATGTGGGTCACATGGGCTTCTTTTTGCTATTTAGAAACAGACTAATGAATGACCCCTATGTTCAGGGACATTGAGAACATGAGCCATTAGGTTTGGATTTTAGACTTGGTTATAAATTAAATATTTTTGTAGGATTTCTGAAGGCTGATAATTCTAGACATGTAATCATTCGATCAAGTTTTTTTTTTTTTAATTTTGTTCCAACATCAGAAGGTCAGGTTTACATTTTCAATCTACGATTCTTAGTTCTGTATGGACCTAAAATCATCTGAACCTTAGACCTCAGGTTTCATTTGTAATAAGCAGAAGGGTGGATCAAGCTGAAAGCCGACTTGCTCCCCAAATGGAAACTGTGCAATGGAACAAACCCCCCAGAGTGCTTTTTTGTTTCTGTTCTCTCCCTTGGGTTTGAAAATTGAAGTCATAACATTAGCACTATACCACTGAACATTGTTCTTGATTCAAAAGTGAATGCTCCCTAATACAAGACGTTAGGACTTGGTGCTGTCTTAGCAACATCAAGCACAAGTTAGCCATGTGAGTATCAGCCTCCTCTCATATGACAAGGGTTGAAGTCTTTTCTCTCCCACCTCGATGACACAGAATTTTTGCATATGAAATGAATCTTACACACAGCCAATCTCTTCTAGTTTACCCATCTCCCCTCCTTCCTCTGTTGCGCTGTGCTTTTCAGAATTGAGTTGTTCCAGCTCATTCTGAGGATGTCAAGTCTAATAATTTTGAACTATGTGAGCCCGGTTGAAATGGATGTAAATGAACCAAACTTTCAATCAGATGTGATTGGAGCATGAAGTGCTATGGGTTCATTGTAATCGAAACTACAAGAGTTTAAAAGGCTCAGAATAAGTCAGACTAAAATATCTTGGGGTCTTTTTCCATTTTAAAGAGAATTGGATAATTCTGTGTGGTTGAGGACGGGCAGCATAATAGAAATAGAGAAATCTGCAGTTTCTCACCAGGTAACTACATTAGCAGCGAGCTCATAATACAGTCTGTTAGCTGAAAAAAGCATAAAGAGACTTCTGTTTTCCTACGAGGAGCTACATGCACACAGTTTTTTAGCTAATTATACTTAGCTACTGCTAAATTCAGTTATTGGAAAATGCTTTCTACCCTGCATCGCCTTCAGCGATAATGAGGAATCACATGCATGCTGATTATTTTATAATTGTTTATTAGCAGAGGCAAACATAATCAAAGCTGCCTTTAAAGGCAGCCTTCCTCTCAAGATGTACCTGCAGGACATGGTATTGTTGTCTATTAGAATCCTGAATATTTCTGCAAGGGTTTCCCTTATTTGACTAATGGTTGCATTCAATGATATTTTTTATAGTTTTATGTTTTGCAGTGACAATCATTATGGATAACATATAGGATAAAGTGCATAGCATAAATATTATACACAGTTGTTACATCACAGAAACTCTATGCATATTCTCACATATACATATATTTATAAAGATATATGATTCACTTACCAGAATTAAGAGGCAACTTGAAGCCAATTTTGTGTGTTCAGGGATGGTAGAAAACACTGACAATATCAAGCAACCAAATACAAGGAGAAAACTGCAAAATAACAGAAAAGAGAAGTTTGATGAGAATCACGCAGAATCATCACAAAGCAAATAAAGAACCAGATCCACTTGAACAGGAATGAGCTAAATAATTACTGAGCATTTTAAATACCAGAGTACAGTACAATTATTTACTATAAGAGGGTTTTTTTTTGTAACTTTATCGACAAAGACAAGATTGTATGCATTGTGCTGTGTGTGTGTGTTGTGTGATGCTGTATTTAAGTGGTAATGTTCGGGAATCTAAATTTCCCACACAACTCCTCTCCTAAAAGGAACCCCAAGCAAGATTGAAGAGTGGGTCTTGCTCTTTGTTCTGGGGATGTCTATTGCAGTCACTCTAAAAAGCAGAACTTTTGTACTTGTCAAGTCTGTAAATCATGAGGCATTGTTCGCTATTATTACTAAGCTGAGCACACATTGCCAGAGTCTGATAGTGCTCATGGACTCTAATTTGTAATTTCTTTATATTGATAGGAAGAGCAGGAGGGAGAAGGTAATTTTTCTCTGCCACCTGCGTACGTTGCTGCTCTTTGCAGCCAAATAACTAGAAGAAAGAACTCGAAGCTCTGGCTACTCACATTTTAATGGCAGGGATCAGAAGTAATGAGCAAGTACTTTCTATCAGTCACTTCAATGATGTTTCTATGAATATGAAACTTCTGGGATCAAGGCAGGGCTATGGATTGGGGCCGAGCACCCACAGAAAATCTCAAATAAAAGGGAAGTCTGTTCAAAGTTGAAGTTGAAAGGCAGGCTATCAAAATAAATCAGAGCCCGAGTGAATTGCTGTAGACTAGGTCTCACCATTACTTGTGTCTAGAAAATTCATATAATAAGGTCTTCCCGATTTCAGAGGAATTAAACTCTACGTCCTCATAGCTTGTGCCCAAAAGACTTACAAGTCCCTTTACCATCCTAGACTCACAGTGCCCTGATAATTATCAGGGATTGGGTAATTATGGACTGAGGAACAAGTCTGCCTTCTAATGCTTATTAAATTGTTGAAAATCTCATCTATGTGTATTTACATCATTTCCAACCTCACTTTGCTCCTTTAACACTTCCTGTGTTGGTCCCAATTCCTCTCAAATCTATGACCTTTTGTTCTGTAAATGTATATGACATATATCATGTATATGTGTAAATACATAAAACCTACTGAACCCATTCATTGTTGCTCATATGCATATGTATTAGAGGCTGGATAACCTATCGGGGAGTTAGCCCCCAGAGAAAATGGATTTCCTCTCCATCAGCAGCCACTGACTGCCTATAGTTTTTTTTTATGTGGCAGTTGGCTCGTGAAACACTGGCATATTGACTGTCATTGGTATTTTTCAGGTCTTGTTTAGGCAACCATGTTGTTGAGATCTAATGGGTACAGCATGCCTGTCACCATTCAGCACTATTCAGACACTACCCAGCAGCAGGTGTGCTGGTACTCTGGCTTATACAGTCCTTCTTTTGAAAGTGTACACATGTCATGAGAAGCTTTAGCGAGAAACGCACATGTGTTTCTCTGAAAAGAGAAGCACTTGTTTGGGACACATCAAAGCATTGTTAGAAGTGAAAGCAGTGTTGCTTTTCTGTGTAAAAGCTTTACGTTGAAAGATAATAACGTTCTTTTGAAAGTGTACTAATTTCATGAGCAGCTTCAGTTCTGCTCTTTCTTCCACAATGGTGCCAGAGTCTTGGATACAGGGGTTGCACTGCAGATATACCACTAATGATTATTTTTATAAATAAAGTTTTATTGTCACTGGCATGTTGTGTATGCCAGCTTTCATATTAAAAGTGTAAAACAAAGTAGTTATAACAGTCAGAATGGACTGCAAGTGTTGTGGGATATTTGTGTGAAGATGTATTGCTGTAATAAAAAGCTGAACAGCCAGTAGCTGGACAGGGGGTATAGGCAGAATTTCCAGGGAGAGAAAGAAGGAGGAGGAATCTAGGCATGTGGGAGAAGATAGAAGACATGGAAAGGAAACAGGAGGTGCAAGATGGGAGAGAGGTAATATCATGTGATAGAATGTAGGTTGATATAAATGGATGTAAGTTATAAGAGCTAGTTAGGAACAATCCTAAGCTATAGGCTGAGCTTTCACAATTAATAAGAAGTCTCCATGTCATTATTTGAGAACTGGCTGGCAGGACAGAAAAAGACTCAATACATGCAAGAATGAAATATTTGCTACCTGCCTCCTTAGAGAATGTTTCTTGACTTGTGATTGAAAATTTTCCTTATTGTGGTGGAATGAAAATCTTAAAACTGTGGGACAGACAAAGGTCTTCCTTAAAGTCCTTTGTGTCAGGCATTCTGCCACAGTAGTAAGAAAGCTGACTAATGCAACTACCTTCTTTTCTAATATTTGGTAGCTTCTGTGCCAGCGTTCTGTCATCATTGGAGATATCTAGTTTAAGGCTACAAACAAAATACCTCCATTGCTGTAGCTGCCCAAGGCTAGGATGGTCAAGTGCATTCATTGGTTCACTCCTTCTTTTTGCCTTTACTACTTTTAATTATTTATCCAACCAGCAAACGTTGAGTATGTAGTGATAGGTAGAGTCATGGGGATATCACAATAAACAAGGTCAATTCTTTTTTTTTTTTTTTGGTTTTTCGAGACAGTTCTTTTAAACATTTTTTCTCCATGTAGGTTTATTGAAGTGTCCAAAACAGTAAACAGAAGTAAGCATGACTAAATCTATGAGTACTAACTGCAGTGATAGGAAAATATAGGTACATAGCATCACAACGGAGAAGAAGGTTTAGGCAGCATGGATTGCTCAATTTGTGACTTCCTTTGCAAAATGAAGATGAGGGGCTAGTTGTTTACAATTATTTCAAATTTCACGATGAAGATAAGCAAGCATGGTACACAGTTGGACACTATTTTAATTGTGGGTCTTCATGAGAACACAGAGGTTGCATGTCCGTGGGGCTGAACCTGGGGCTAGAGGAGACCTTGTGGAGAAGATACTGACCAAATAGTCCTGAAGGTATAGATGGAGCTAGTGAGCAGAATGGCTGGGGAGAAGGAATACCCTAGTGCACGGGACTGTATGAAGCAAGGTGAGATGCAAGCATGTGCTTAGATATCACTAATTCATCAGTAATGGGGAGACAGTGAACACCTGCAGGCTCGCTCGGTCATCTGGTATTGGAAAAGAGTCAGTAGGGGCAATCCCATAAATCTGTTATTTCAGTTCAGCAGAAAATAAATATTGAATATTTTGATTATTTGGAAACACATCATGCCAAGACTGCCGTGTTCGCTGATCAACTGAGGAGTGTCTACCTATAGGAATTTGTACACACAGGGAAGAGGACAAGGTGTGCACGCAGATGGTAATGAAAGGCAGTAGAGGACACACACTTTATGCTTGAGGTGATCTTCAGAGGATAGCAGAGGGTTCAGCATGGTACATTTACTAGAGAAACACATCCCAGAAGGAAGTACAAGGGAAGGCTGCAAGCTAGGAAAGGAGGATTCCTGGGGAGAGTCTCTATTTAGTTCAGTAGCTACTGAATGTTAAAGGTAGTCCTGGTGTCTTTTGAGTTTCTGGTAAAGTTTACCTTGACCTTGCCCTGCTCCAGACTCAATCCTGTACTTAGACCCAGTCTGTGCTACAACTCCATTAATTTTTGTTTCATAAAACAGAGAACAAATATTTTTGCTCCACTGCATCTTGTTGCAAATTGAATAAAAGCAAGTTGAAAAAAAGGTAGGTCACTGTCTGTTTGAGTGTCTTTGTTTAGGTCCACAGGTTTCCAAGGAATTTATGCATAGGACTTAGTGTAGTTTGACCATGGAGGCTGACTTTACTTTTCACTATGATAAAATCAGCAGTCCTCTTAATGACTTTGTTACTTAAAAAATACAGATATCTTCAAATCATATTTTATATCAGAGATAAAAACCATAATTGTTTCATCTTGAATAGTGATTTCTAATAATTATTTCACAATTATGGCATTTATTAGACCCTGGATAGGGAACATTTTAATGCGTTAATAATAAAGGATATACCTTGTCATATCATAAGCATGTTTGATACTTCAGTCCTCACATTTCAGCATAATTTTATCTTTTGTAATTATGTGTATTTTGTGCATTTAAGAATATTCTGATAAAGGGCTTATAGCCTTCATTAGTCTACTGATATTATCTATGATATACCCATACAGAGTATTAAAATCCTTATGATGAAGCGTTAGGAAGACAGGACCATGAACTGGAAGATGGCCTTATTCAGTAGTCACCAACAACTTGCCAAGGTAACTTCAATGATCAGCTTAAAACTACCACGGGAAGAACATATTCCTCCAAAATTATTCTATAACAGCGTTTGGCGTTTATTTAACCTGGTGTTTCTATTTTTTTCAGATAAAACTCATGCTTATCCAAACTTTTTATGCCATGCTTCCTTTTGGAAAGCACTGATTATTTAAGATGAGAAGAGCATTTATGAGAAAGTAAATATTATCGGTTTCAAGGCTTCTCTGTTTAGCTAAGAAAAGTGCCATCAACTTTTTTCTTTCAGTTAATTAAGAATCCATTTCTGAGATTTAATTTAGCAAGAAGGTTGAGCTAAGAAACACAGGTTCTTGTTTGAACAAATGATGTCCTGATTCCAAAGCCTGTACTTTCAGAACAGGTGCACTTAGTTAGAATTAAAATGACATGCAAATAAAGCACTCAGAAAAGCTCAGCTGACACTTTTCCAGAGGAACCTCAGCAGGTTACATTATTGTCATTCCCATACATACACACACACACATACGCACACACACACATACACGCACACACCCCTAGTCATTCATAAACAACGAAGAATGATTCAATACACAAACAAGACACAGAGTTATATCTCACGTTGGCATTTCATGCAGCTTCAGCAGGTACAAACAGGCTTTGCTAATCTACCCAGAAGGTACTCTTCCGTAAATATTTTGGTGGACTCTCAGCTTTGCTGAGAAATATTTGG